GAAAATGTACAGAGAACTTTCACGGCGCGCATAACGGAGATAAAACACCTCAATTACTGGGAGCGCTTGAGTTTCCTAAACCTGTATTCCCTGGAACGCAGGAGGGAGAGATACATGATTATATACACCTGGAAAATCCTAGAGGGACTAGTACTGAACTTGCACACGAAAATCACTCACTACGAAAGCAAAAGACTTGGCAGACGATGCACCATCCCCCCAATGAAAAGCAGGGGTGTCACTAGCACGTTAAGAGACCATACAATAAGTGTCAGGGGCCCGAGACTGTTCAACTGCCTCCCAGCACACATAAGGGGGATTACCAACGTACGAGCCACAGCCCGGCTGATCAAGAACTGACTTTAGGTGCTTGTCCAGTGCCAGCTTGAAGACTGCCAGGGGTCTGTTGGTAATCCACCTTATGTGTGCTGGGAGGCAGTTGAACAGTCTCGGGCCCCTGACACTGGTCTCTTAACGTGCTAGTGACACTGGTCTCTTAACGTGCTAGTGACACCCCTGCTTTTCATTGGGGGGATGGTGCATCGTCTGCCAGTCTTTTGCTTTCGTAGTGAGTGATTTTCGTGTGCAAGTTCGGTACTAGTCCCTCTAGGATTTTCCAGGTGTATATAATCATGTATCTCTCCCTCCTGCGTTCCAGGGAATACAGGTTTAGGAACCTCAAGCGCTCCCAATAATTGAGGTGTTTTATCTCCGTTATGCGTGCCGTGAAAGTTCTCTGTACATTTTCTAGGTCGGCAATTTCACCTGCCTTGAAAGGTGCTGTTAGTGTGCAGCAATATTCCAGCCTAGATAGAACAAGTGACCTGAAGAGTGTCATCATGGGCTTGGCCTCCCTAGTTTTGAAGGTTCTCATTATCCATCCTGTCATTTTTCTAGCAGATGCGATTGATACAATGTTATGGTCCTTGAAGGTGAGATCCTCCGACATGATCACTCCCAGGTCTTTGACGTTGGTGTTTCGCTCTATTTTGTGGCCAGAATTTGTTTTGAAGATTTAATTTCCTCATGTTTACCATATCTGAGTAATTGAAATTTCTCATCGTTGAACTTCATATTGTTTTCTGCAGCCCACTGAAAGATTTGGTTGATGTCCGCCTGGAGCTTTGCAGTGTCTGCAATGGAAGACACTGTCATGCAGATTCGGGTGTCATCTGCAAAGGAAGACACGGTGCTGTGGCTGACATCCTTGTCTATGTCGGATATGAGGATGAGGAACAAGATGGGAGCGAGTACTGTGCCTTGTGGAACAGAGCTTTTCACCGTAGCTGCCTCGGAATTTACTCTGTTGACGACTACTCTCTGTGTTCTGTTAGTGAGGAAATTATAGATCCATCGACCGACTTTTCCTGTTATTCCCTTTAGCACGCATTTTGTGCGCTATTACGCCATGGTCACACTTGTCGAAGGCTTTTGCAAAGTCTGTATATATTACATCTGCATTCTTTTTGTCTTCTAGTGCATTTAGGACCCTGTCGTAGTGATCCAATAGTTGAGACAGACAGGAGCGACCTGTTCTAAACCCATGTTGCCCTGGGTTGTGTAACTGATGGGTTTCTAGATGGGTGGTGATCTTGCTTCTTAGGACCCTTTCAAAGATTTTTATGATATGGGATGTTAGTGCTATTGGTCTGTAGTTCTTTGCTGTTGCTTTACTGCCCCCTTTGTGAAGTGGGGCTATGTCTGTTGTTTTTAGTAACTGTGGGACGACCCCCGTGTCCATGCTCCCTCTCCATAGGATGGAAAAGGCTCGTGATAGGGGCTTCTTGCAGTTCTTGATGAACACAGATTTCCATGAGTCTGGACCTGGGGCAGAGTGCATGGGCATGTCATTTATCGCCTGTTCGAAGTCATTTGGCGTCAGGATAACATCGGATAGGCTTGTGTTAATCAAATTTTGTGGCTCTCTCATAAAAAATTCATTTTGATCTTCGACTCTCAGTCTGGTTAGCTGCTTGCTAAAAACTGAGTCATATTGGGACTTGAGTAGCACACTCATTTCCTTGCTGTCATCTGTGTAGGACCCATCTTGTTTAAGTAGGGGCCCAATACTGGACGTTGTTCTCGATTTTGATTTAGCATAGGAGAAGAAATACTATGGGTTTCTTTCAATTTCATTTATGGCTTTTAGTTCTTCCCGCGATTCCTGACTCCTATAAGATTCCTTTAGCTTAAGTTCGATGCTTGCTATTTCTCTGACCAGTGTCTCCCTACGCATTTCAGATATATTGACCTCTTTTAGGCGCTCTGTTATTCTTTTCCGTCGCCTGTAAAGGGAGCGCCTGTCTCTTTCTATTTTACATCTACTCCTCCTTTTTCTTAGAGGAATAAGCCTTGTGCATGCATCGAGTGCCACCGAGTTAATCTGTTCTAGGCATAAGTTGGGGTCTTTGTTGCTTAGTATATCTTCCCAGCTTATATCGGTTAGGACTTGGTTTACTTGGTCCCACTTTATGTTTTTGTTATTGAAGTTGAATTTGGTGAAAGCTCCCTCGTGACTAATCTCATTATGTCGGTCTGGGGCTCCGCGCATACATGACTGAACCTCAATTATGTTGTGATCTGAGTATATTGTTTTTGATATGGTGACATTTCTTATCAGATCATCATTGTTAGTGAAGATGAGGTCTAGTGTATTCTCCAGTCTAGTAGGCTCTATTATTTGCTGGTTTAAATTGAATTTTGTGCAGAGATTTAAAAGCTCGCGTGAGTGTGAGTTTTCATCAGAGCTGCCTCCTGGTGTTATTTCTGCAACAATATTATTTGCTATATTCCTCCATTTTAGGTGCCTTAAGTTGAAATCCCCCAGGAGCAAGATGTTGGGTGCAGGAGCTGGAAGATTTTCCAGACAGTGGTCAATTTTTAACAGCTGTTCCTGGAATTGCTGGGATGTTGCATCCGGAGGCTTGTAGACTACCACAATGACTAGGTTTTGGTTCTCGACCTTTACTGCTAAAACTTCCACTACATCATTTGAGGCATTTAGCAGTTCTGTGCAAACAAGTGACTCTGCAATGTACAGGCCAACCCCCCCCCCTTTTGCCTGTTCACTCTGTCACATCTGTATAGGTTGTAACCTGGGATCCATATTTCGTTGTCCAAGTGATCCTTTATGTGGGTCTCAGTGAAAGCCGCGAACATTGCCTTTGCCTCTGCAAGCAGTCCACGGATGAAAGGTATTTTGTTGTTTGTTGCTGGCTTTAGACCCTGTATATTTACCAAGAAGAATGTTATCGGACTGGTGGTATTGTTGGTACTGGGGGGGGATTTTTTTTCCGGCATTAGTATCTGTATCTGTTGGTTTGGAGTGGAGGCCATCGACTGTGGTTCCACTCCAGGAATGACTGGATTTGGTGTACAATTTCTGCCATTTCCTGCCAGTCTTTTTTCCTTCCTGGCACTAAAAATCTCTCCCTCTTGAGTGGCTGTGGCTACCCAGGTTTTCCCATGGCCTGGATGTTTTGTATCTTTTTGTCCCCTTTAGATGGTATGCCTGGCAATTTAAGTTATAGCACAGTCTTTCCTGTACTGAAGAGGTACACAGTTCAGGGTGAAAAAGCTTACAGGAAGGGAGTTTGCATTTTCCTGTTGTCATATGGGCATGGCATTTTCTAGGGTGGTCATTGTTGCACGTCCCATCTGTTTTTCCAGATTTCCCATGCCTGCAGATACCAAGTGCATAGTATGTGCACAGGCTTGGTTTCCGTTTGCCTTGGGTTTCTGTGACTGTATTCCCTGTTGGTGCATGTTTCCCTGTCTTACTTCTATCCTACCTAGCACCAACAATGGAGCTCCCACCAGTTGCTTTTGGTAATATATCCTCACTATTGCTAGTGGAGTCCTCTTGTTTGCTATTTCCTGCGGTATTTCTAGTTTGCAATATTGGTTTTATCTTATCTTTGACTACACTTGACTACCTCTGTAATCTTTTGACTACCGCCCACAGGATGGATATGCGGTCCATAACACACATTAAACTAACTTTTACATTACATTGACCTTACTTTTACATTACGTTGACCTTACTTTTACATTACGTTGACCTTACTTTTACATTACGTTGACCTTACTTTTACATTACGTTGACCTTACTTTTACATTACGTTGACCTTACTTTTACATTACGTTGACCTTACTTTTACATTACGTTGACCTTACTTTTACATTACATTGACCTCACTTTTACATTACGTTGACCTTACTTTTACATTACATTGACCTCACTTTTACATTACATTGACCTCACTTTTACATTACGTTGACCTTACTTTTACATTACGTTGACCTTACTTTTACATTACGTTGACCTTACTTTTACATTACGTTGACCTTACTTTTACATTACGTTGACCTTACTTTTACATTACATTGACCTTACTTTTACATTACGTTGACCTTACTTTTACATTACGTTGACCTTACTTTTACATTACGTTGACCTTACTTTTACATTACGTTGACCTTACTTTTACATTACGTTGACCTTACTTTTACATTACGTTGACCTTACTTTTACATTACATTGACCTCACTTTTACATTACATTGACCTCACTTTTACATTACGTTGACCTTACTTTTACATTACATACACTTTACTTTTCTTTTACGTTAAATAAACCTTACTTAACTTCAACTTGACGTTACTTTGCATTTATTTTACGTACCATTACTCGATGCGTTACATTGACTTAATTTACATATGTCTAATGAAAACAAAGTCACCGGCATTTTTGGGTTATCTTAAGTAATGTACACTTATGTTAAGCTATGGTAATTGTACTTATATGTACTTGTGCCTAAATAAACTTACTTTACCCAGCATTACTTTAGGTTACTTACTGGTGAAAATTAAGGACCACAATGGAAATAAGTCACTTTGACTTTTTTTTTGTTATCCTAAGTAGTTTACACTAGGTATGATAATTGTAGTTATGTGTACCTGTACTTAAATAAAGTTAGGTTACTTAGTCTTGCTTTACTAGTGATAAACAAAAGAGTGTTGAGAGTCATGGTGGAGTGAGAGTCATCATAACACTGCTGCTGCTGCTCCTGCCTCTCCTCACTTAAATATCTCAAAATGCCTGACCATTTAGGAGCAGACATGAGGAAAACCAACGAGGATAAAGGCGATGATGAGCCTATTAAGAGTAAGCCATTGTGTACATCCTAATATTTAGGTTATTGCATTTTTTTGAGCGAAATATATGAAGCAGTTGACTTCCTCGCCGCCTTTGTAACTTGTCATGATTATGACCAGACCTACCTGGAGTTCATTACCTTTGTAACTTGTCATGATTATGACCAGACTTACCTGGAGTTCATTACCTTTGTAACTTGTCATGATTATGACCAGACTTACCTGGAGTTCATTACCTTTGTAACTTGTCATGATTATGACCAGACTTACCTGGAGTTCATTACCTTTGTAACTTGCTCAGCTATCAAAACTTTGGAGTCCAGTCCCTGGACCCATTATGTACCTCTAATCTTCTGACTACCGCCCACAGGATGGGTATGTGGTGCATAATAATAATATTAAACTAAACTAACTTCCTCGCTGCTGTGTTGTATTTTACCTTTTTTTTCAGTTAGCTAGCCTAACATTTCGACAAATATATACTATAAATATGGACTTAAGTATATCACAGCTGAATACTAAATGGTATGTATGAACTTAGGTATTTTTACTGGGTGTTTATATATACATATACATACATACATACATACATACACACATACACACCCCTCAGGAGCCTGGAGAGGCTCTTCATCCAAGGAATTGGACCAGTGGCCACTTTCCTTGGATCGAACCTGATTAGCTTTTCATTTCACCAGGCATTATATGGCCCCTATGGGTTTGGCACTTCCAAGAATACAGCAAATTAATTCACCGTGAGAAGGAGTCGCTTAATTTGACTTTTTTGAAAATCAAAGAATAATGATAATAATATCTTTATTTCTACAAGTTCATGTACAAGGTTTACAGTCCTAGCTGATGTCAATGATCTACTATATAGAAAGGCGCTTGTTATGCAGAGCATTTCCTGTAAATTAGGTCAGTTTTGTCCCCAGGATGCGACCCACACCAATCTACTAACACCCACGTACCAATTTTACTGCTAAGTGAACATGGACATCAGGTGTCTTAAGGAAACACATCCTAATACGTATTTTCACCCGTACTGGGGATCAACCCCCAGACCTTAGTGTGTGAGCTGAGTGTGCTGCCGACTGAACTACTGGACAAATTTTATTTCTCTAGTATACAATATGTAGTTTTTATTTGTTTATATTATCACGTGATGGCTCACTTGCTTGGGTACAGTGCCAAAGCAGTGATGTGTACTTTAGGCAAGGATAAGAGGAGGTTTCTTTGGATTTTTAACCCAAGATTAGTAGCCATCCAGGATAACCCAGGGTAAGGAGTTTTAACCACCCAAGATAACCCAGAAAAGTGTGTCATTGAGGACTGTCTGTCTTTTTTCCATTGTGGTCCTTTAATCTTGTCCCCCAAGATGTCACCCACACCAGTTGACAAACACCCAAGTACCTACTTACTGCTAGGTGGACAGGAACAGTAGGTACAAGGAAACACACCCAACATTTCCACCAATGTTGGGATTGAACCACAAACACTTAATGTGTGAGGTGAGAGCATTGCCAATCAAGCCTTAAAGCCTTGATGTATAGGTAATATATCCCTTCAGAGGGCAATTTCTGATACATTAGAAATTCAAACAGAACTCCCTAGAGTCGATAGAGTATCTCAATATAAGTTGAATGAGGCCATATAAATGGAATTCTGATGGTTAGTTTTCGAGCAATTGCTAATCTCCGAAAAGTGAAAATTTTCGCTCTTGCCTGACATGGGGAGAATAAATTTGAATGTTGCAAACTTGCAATCGTTAATAAAACCCCCAATAACTATTTTTTAAGTTTATTATACAGACAATATCAAAAACATAAATGGAACTTGTATCAAAACATTTTGTAAGTATTAGAAAAATATAAAAATGAAACAAATAGCAACATGGACACATTGCAATGGGATAAAACTTTCAAGTCCCATATTCCTGAGATTCATGAGGAAGAGCAGTTATTCTATATTGCTAATTGATAGTTCATGTTCATATGCCAGCAAAGGATCATTTTGGAGGTCAACCTGGGACCACTGAGATTGACCTTGAAGAGCAATATCATCATAAATATGTTCCTCATCAGGGTACTCCTCAATCGTAATACCTTTCTTTATCTTTACTAATTTCTGCTTTTTGGCTGGCCTTTCTTCCTCCTTATCATCACTTGACACCTCTGCATCCAATGGCAAGTAGTGTTCATCACCACTATCCAGCAATTCTGATTCATCTACCTCCGGTTCTGAGTCACTGTCCTCCAAAATGCAAACATATTTTGACCTGGTGCTGGAGGGCTCCCCATAAAACAATTTCTCATTGATCTGGAAGGACAATAAAAACCTTCTGTATAGATCCAGACCACTACAGAATTCATAAATGCAATATAAATTTTTTTATAAATATTTATTTTACTGAAAGTGTACTGTCACTAAAAGGGCAGCAACGAACATTTTCGCGCTTCCTTTGTTGCACTTTTTTCAACTGCATGCTACACTCACATTATGCTTCAAACAGACTTTATGTATATATCAAAATATGCCTAAACTATTCATGTACGCACTAAACACAACAATCAGTACTTACCGACATTGTAGAGGGTAAAATCCAAGAGTATATTAGTGACACTGGATGGAAAAAACCCACTCTGAGTGACGGCAAGCCACACGTGTTTATATTTTCTCTCAACCAATGGGAAGCCGGCAAACGGCATCACCACTTAGCTGAAGTGACTCTGGGAAGGCTTGTGATTGGTTAGAATTAAAGAACGGGAATCCAGATGCGCGGCGCGAGTAGGATGACATGCGTAAAGGTGCACGTGTTTAAGCACGAAAATTTTTGCTGCTGTGCGACAAAGGGATATACCTTAGGTTAGTATGTAAAACATTTATAATCATCCAAATATTGTGGCTCAGTTGATAACCTACTTGTCTTATACATGTACACTGAATGTCCATGGTTCAGTTCCCAGCATGGGTGGAAATACTGGGCATGTCACCTTACACCTGCTGCCCCTATTCACTTAGCAGTAAGTAGGTACCTGGGTGTTAGTTGACTGGTGTGGGTTACATCCTGGGGGCCAAGATTAAAGGACCACAATGGGAATAAGATAGACAGTTTTCGATGATAACACTGACAGTATTGGGTTTTCCTGGATGGCTAACTCACAAAGTTTTAAAAATTTGAGCAAAGTCTTTTCAAATGTGAAAGGTTTACTGTGAATCAGATTTGATGAATTAAGTGTTGGTGTACAGATTAATTATGATGTATGGTTGCCATTGCTCGGGAAACACCAGCAACACTGCAGTATGTTTATTAGACCATGTTAACCCATGCTACCTCTGCTGTCAGGTGAAAGCAAGAATTCTATCTTATCAGGTGGAATGCCATACATTAATCCTAGTTAACCAGCCAAGGTCCACTCCTTATGCTGTTTGTACTTCCAGGTATTTTTCCCGAGCTTCAGAACTTTTTGAAATAAGTGGACAAGGACCTGCCTTGCATGGGCCAGTAGGCCTTCTGCACTGTTCCTTCTTATGTCCTCTGCTCCCATTTATTCTTAACTATGTTATGTTCATAAGTTTTGTAAGTTCAGGAGAGAGAGTTATTTGCATTGTGGCTATCCAAAATGAACAATATTCTCTCAAGGAGAAAATATTCACTTTGTGAATATCTTCTCCTTGAGAGAATATTTGCACAGGTGCTCTGCAGTCACTAATATCCTTTATTGCAGAGTGGTGACACAATAATGAATAACATTGTACACTTGTAGAACATCTCTGTAAATTATAATGAAACAGGAGTGCTGTAATTTTAAAATATTTTATATGGCAGACTGATTTATTTTCTTCAGATTGATTAATGATTCTTGTATGGTTAGGTAATAACAAGTAGATAATTACCATAGATTTATGGTGCTCATTGTTCACTGAAATAGATATCTTTCATTTGTAATTAATAGTTTATATTTATTTTCCAGTGCTTGATGAAGCTGACATTACCCTACTGAAGTCATATGTAAGTACAGTATACCAGGCAGCAGACATTTAAAGAACCAGTATATGTAACTTCAATCAATCATGAAAAAAGACACGTGTAGTAGCAAAATCCTTTGTAGGTACAGTACAGTGGAACCTCCGGCTTACGAACGCCCCACCATGCGAATTTTTCAGGATACGAATCATCATTTGGTCGATGTTTTTGCTTCTGGATATGAAGGAAATTTCAGGATGCGAACTTCCCCCTCAAGGGAGGTTCCTTAAATAAATAAATAAATAAAATTATTTCTTTGCAAAGGTTACAATGTGTGTTTACATATCATAATATGATTGGAGCAAAGAAAGCCACTGCCATGCCGAGGCATTTCTGGCATACTTAACCCTTTCAGGGTTTTCGACGTACTAGTACGGCTTACGCACCAGGGTTATTGACGTACTAGAATGCCTAAATTGTAGCGCCTATAAATCTAACGAGAGAAAGCTGGTAGGCCTACATATGAAAGAATGGGTCATTGTGGTCAGTGTGCGCAGTATAAAAAAAATCCTGCAGCACACAGTGCGTAATGAGAAAAAAAACTTTGACCGTGTTTTTGGATTAAAACAGCGACTTTGCACTGTATTTTCGTATGGTATTTGTGGTTGTATTCTAGTTTTCCTGGTCTCATTTTATAGACTGGAAGACATATTGCAGAAATTGAGATGATTTTGAAAAGTACCTTGAAACTGAGCTCAAAGTAGCAGAAATGTTCGATTTTTACCAAAGTTCAAAAGTAAACAAATCATGCCAAGCATCCAATACGTCAACTGGTGAGTCAGATATTCTTTCACAAGTGCGCTGATATTATTTATACCATTTCTACACTAATGCAGTAGTCTGCATAACAGTAAATCTTCTATTTTTTGTGAGAATAAAAATTCAAAGTGGAAAGCAAAATAAATATAAGAGGGGCCTGGGGACATGACTAACGAACAGAGAACTTGTTATTTTAGTGCCAGAAATGTCTGTCTTGTTTATTCTGGACCCTATTTGGAAATTGGTATCTTCTGAAATTTGTGTGAAATTGGCAAAATTGCCAATTTCTAACCACTTTATTGGATAGTTGAAATAGGTAAATGGGTGGTTTCTTGTACTCATTCGATAGAAAAAATGGAGTTCTAGCGAAATAAATATGATTTTTATCGACTAGTACACATGAATTGGCCGAAAATAGGGCTCAAAGTGGGCAAAATCGCCAATGCGTAAACATCGGCAAGACTGCTAACTTCGCAAGAGCATAATTTCGTAAGTTTTCCATCAAATTTCAAACTTTTGGTGTCATTATGACCAGGAAAAGATTCTCTATCATTTCATAAGAAAAGATAATTTTTTTTTCCGAAAAATTTTCGACCCTGAGAACAAGTTTAGGAGAGGGCCTCTCGACCCTGAAAGGGCTAACCTAATACAGCGGACCCCTGGTTTGCAATATTAATCTGTTCCTGAGAGCTCATCGTAAACCAAAATTATCGAAAAGCGAATCAATTTTCCCCATGAGAAATAATGGAAATCAAATTAATCCGTGCAAGACACCCAAAAGTATGAAAAAAAAAATTTTACCGCATGAAATATTAAGTTTAATGCACACAAACTGAAGAAGACATGCACAGTTTGTAGTACTCTACTAACAATAGAATACATGACACTTACCTTTAATGAAGATCTGGTGATGATTGATGGGATGGGAGGAGGGGAGAGTGTCGAAGTTGTTAATGTTTAGAAGGGGAACCCCCTTCCAATAGGACTTAAGGTAGCAAGTCCTTTTCCGGGGTTACACTTCCCTTCTTTTAATGCCACTAGGACCAGCTTTAGAGTCACTGGCAGCCTCACCATTCTTAAATCTTTCAAACCAACCTTTGCTGGCCTTAAATTCACTCACATCACCACTAGTTGCAGGCAATTTCTTTACCAAATCGTCATGCAACTGCCTAGCCTTGTCACAAATGATCGCTTGAGAGATGCTATCTCCTGCTATCTGTTTTTCATTTATCCACACCAATAACAGTCTCTCAACATCTAACACTTGCGGTCGCTGTTTTGTAATCACAGTTGCACCTTTTGCAACAACAGCTTTCTTGATTGCCGTTTTCCTGGTCACTATAGTAGAGATGGTTGATTGGGTTTTGTATACAACCTGGCCAGCTCTGACACACGCACTCCACTTTCGTACTTTGCAATTATCTCTTTCTTCATTTCAATAGTCATTAGCACCCTTTTTCTCGAAGGGTTGGCACTAGAAGCTTTCTTGGGGCCCATGGTGACTTATTTTGCAGAAACAAGCACCAAAAACACTGATAATATGGAATGTACCGAATGTATCCTTAGATGTGAGCACACTGGCTGGCTTGTAAACACTGGCACACACGTGGACACGTCTCGGACGAATCGTATACCGGGTTTTTTAACGGGAACCGAGGCAAAATTTTTGCATTAAAATGCATCGAATACCGGATTTATAGGATACTGATGACATCGCGAACCGGGGGTCCACTGTACTAATAGACTACTTAAGTCTAGACAGGTGAAAAGTGTACTAGTAGTGGTTACCAATATTTTGCTGATGGTGGTGCCAACTACTGGCAGCCTTTTGAAGTTTCTCCTTACTGTTGTTATTATTATTAGTATTACATTGTACATATTATTATTATTATTATTATTATTGTTATAATTATTATTAGTACATGTATGTACATGGTAATGGGCTCTTGATCTATGGAATTGGATCTGTGCTCCAGTTCCCTATATTAATCACCCAAAGAGACAGCATTTGCATACAATCAGCAAGAAACGATCAGAAACTATGAAAAAAGCTAGAGAAACGAAGAAGGCAGCAGCATAGAGTCCCGGAGCAGCTGGCTGCCGCCACCACTACTGTGGCTGCCACCGCCGCCACCACCACCAACACTACTGTGGCCACAGTGATCATGTCTTCACCTATATATACATCTGTCTTGACCACACCTGTGGTTACATATATGACAGCCTCACCACTAATCATAGATAAACACAAGTTAGGTGTGGGGTTATGGACTGGGAAGATACTAGAGTGGGAGAGTAAATGGCGGATGCTTTCTGCCACTGCCAGTGTCGCCATCACTTGCCATATTATGGCCTATTTTATTCATTCTAGAGTATATATATCATGTTTCTGTGTTATTAATATTGTTTATTATGTCATATTAGATGAATTGTGATAACTAAGCCGTAGAGTTGATATTATCATTATTTTGTCATGCCTCCTGAGAGGCTGGAACGAATTAATTGCATTTCAATTAATTTAAATGAGGAAAATTGACTCAGCATACGAACAACTCCGGATACGAACAAAAGGTCACGGAACGGATTAAATACGTAAGCCGAGGTTCCACTGTATTTCCCTCGTGCGCTTACTGCTCATTATTTTTATCCTTTGTTTTTGTTGCGTTGTTAAGAGAGTGGTGAAGCAGTGTAAAAAGAAAGCAAATGAGAGAATGGGTGAGATGTTATCAACAAGTTTTGTTGGGAATAAGAAAGTTTTGGAGTGAGATTAATAAGTTGAGAAAGCCTAGGGAACGAATGGATTTGTTAGTTAAAAATAGGAGAGGAGAGTTATTAAATGGAAAGTTAAGGTATCAGGAAGATGGAGGGAATATTTTGAGAAATTGTTAAATGTTGATGAAGATAGAGAAGCTGTGATTTCGTGTATAGGGCAAGGAGGAATAATACCTTATAGGAGTGAGGAAGAACCAGTTGTGTGTGGGGGGGGGGAAGTGTGTGGGGCAATGGGTAGAATGAAAGGAGGTAAAGCAGCTGGGATTGATGGGATAAAGATAGAAATGTTAAAAGCAGGTGGGGATATAGTTTTGGAGTGGTTATTGTTTTATTTAATAAATATATGGAAGAGGGTAAGGTATTTAGTGATTGGCAGAGATCATTTATAGTTCCTTTGTATAAAGGCAAAGGGGACAAAAAAGAGTGTAAAAATTATAGGGGAACAAGTCTGTTGAGTATACCTGGTAAAGTGTATGGTAGTTATTACTGAAAGAATTAAGAATAAGACGGAGAGCAGGATAGTAGATGAATAAGGAGGCTTTAGGAAGGGTAGGGGGTATGTAAACCAAGTGTTTGAAGTGAAACATATAGGTGAACAGTATTTAGATAAGGGTAAAGAGGTTTTTGTGGCATTTATGGATTTGGATAAGGCATATGATAGGGTGGATAGGGGGGGAAATGTGGCAGATGTTGCAAATGTATGGAATAGAAGGTACATTATTGAATGCAGTGAAGTCTTTATAAGGATAGTGAGGCTCAGGTTAGAGTATGTAGGTGAGAGAGAGATTATTTTCCAGTAAAAGTAGGCCTTAGGCAGAGATGTGTGATGTCACCATGGTGGTTCAGTATATTTATAGATGGCAAGAGGTGTGGGGTTAAAAGGTAAAGAATTTAACACAAAGTGGGAGTTGTCACAGTTGCTCTTTACTGATGACACTGTGCTTTTGGGAGATTCTGAAGAGAAGTTGCAGAGATTGGTTGATGAATTTGGTAGGGTATGTAAAAGAAGGAAATTAAAAGTGAATACAGTGGAACCTCTACTTACGAGTGCATCCACGTGCGAGTTTTTCCAGATACGAGCAGCTGCTCAGTCGATTTTTTGCATCCAGACGCGAGCAAAATTTCCAGATGCGAGCAGGCCTCGATGGAGGTTAAGTGACACTGGTGAGGGGCTCTTGCTCTTGATCTAGGGAATTGGATCTCGGTTGTTTTTTGGACTATCTTATTGAAACTTGGGCAATGTATGATGAAAAAATTCTTCTTAACATACACCGAAAATGAAAGAAATCGGACCATAAATAACAGAGTTCACTTCTCAGCCATTAGCATCCCCTTAGCTGTATATTTTCATATGGTTTTTATGGTTGTATTCTCGTTTTATTTGGCCTCATGTGATAGAATGGAAGCTATACTTCAAAAATAAATATGATTTTAATTGGTTTCACGATGAAAAG